GGTGCGGTGGGGTGGGGGTGGGGGTAGTGGTGGTGGGGTGGTAGGGTTGATTCAATCGACTACATTCTCTAGTTGAGTGTTGATGGCCGCGAGGTGAAAAGAGCAAGAGGAGAGGAAGAAAAAACCAACGAGTGAAAAATGAAAGGCCCAGTGTGTGTGTGTGTGACCGATGGAAGCCCATAAACTGGTTTTGTTATTAATTGAAGCCACTCTCACCCTCTCGCCTGTCTTTCATACTGCCTCGAACAGCGAGTTGCCCTTTCAATGGGGGGATAAAAGGCGATGCAAAAATTTTCCCCCCACAACTCAACTCCCTTTTTTTTCCACGCAAATGGCGTTACATTTTGATGAATGAAAACAAGTGGGCTATTTGTGGCCCCTGTTAAGCTCCCATTATCAGCTTATTTTCGAGCATTTTAAAATTGAAAAAAATATATAATTCCGATCAAAGTTATTTTATCGGCAGTAATGCCACATATATGCGTCTATTTCATAAACACATCCAAATTGTATAACTACGTTCGATGAGTGAAAACAACCTTTACACAGGAGGGAAAGAAAGTTTTCCTAGTCTAATATACGGCATTTCATCTATTTCCTGACAAATTATTTGACCTGATAAGCGAAATATTTGAAAGCTTATTGCATTATAAAAAATCGCTGCCCACAACTTTTTGCTACATCGCTTTCTTTTAAAACAATATTCGTGTTTTATTCTCATAAGTTTTGCCAGCCCAACATTAAAAATTTCCCTAAATCAGACATAAGAGTTCATGGAAAACCCTTTGAGACCAACTGAATTTAAATCTTTGAGTATCACCGTGAACAACGTTGTAAATAACCATGAGAGGGAGTTGAAGAGAAGGAGGCAATCAAATTCAAACAAAATTGCCTGATTTCATTTGATTCCTAAGCTTATCAATTTATCTGATTTTTTAATCTATCCTCTCTTTGACTGCATCATAATTCGATGTTGAATTTCTCAAGATTTAGAACTTGCCATCTCGGTTACTGAGTCGATTGGTATCTGAATTTGGCGTGTTCACTTTCTGAGATCATCGACCAGTTCAGAAAACGATGTATTTTGTTGTTCTGCCATGCCATATTAGGCTCTTGAAATAGCTAAGTGCAAAAATGCGTTTGACATGGCACAGTTTAATCGGAATTAACTCAATGTGAACTAAAATAATGACATTAGTAGTTTTCTAAGTAGAACTTCCCTCAGCTTCACGATTAATCGACATGGAAAAGTTCCACACTATTGGACCCTTTCATTCGTTGTCATAAGTTAATATTGTTAACTGCAGTTGAAGCTTTTAAAAATACTCACAAATTTGAGCATTATATTGCAAATGAAATATTGCTTTAATAGGATGATTTACGCAATAATCCAAGTGTAAAATATTAGTATTTGATTATTTTAATTCTAATCTGTCAATTAGTAACATTTTTTAAAGAATTGTTTAAGTCTTACCAAGAAATTTTAGTTAACTTCATATGTTGCTTTGCCTTAGTTAAGCTGAAGGTGCCGATAGGTAACTTGGAAGTCTCCATTTCAAAACACCGATAGATACACACAGGGTTTATCAATTCTAAAAACCAAATCTCGTCGGAGCATATCTCATCCATCAAACTCTGTTGTGTCACGGTTTGGGTGGTAGCTTCAAAGCGGAACGAGTGGATGCAAAAAAAGTGGAATTGTGCATGTGGATTTGTTCGTGCTTTTTGTCACATTGTGATATTTGGTTGACAAGTGAAGTTCATTTGCACTGACACACTTGTTCATTGTTATTAATGAATTCAAAAGGCGCAATTCCAATGATCCTAAGGAACCAAGTCTAAATTGCATTAATAAATATCATTATTACTATAATTAGTTGGGAGTCTGAAATAATTACAGCTATGTACAATTTTATTTATTATTTGCAATGATTTATGCCTACCCATTTAGCATATTATTTTAAATTTATTTCAACATGAGAATCTAAACATGTAGAACACTATTTACAATTTAATAAAGTATTTCCATTAGAAATTAAAATTATTGGAATCCTAATAATCTAATTTCATTGTTCAAGGGGGGGTGTTTTTCGCATTTAGTTTTTTTAAATAAAATTGACATACCTGAAAATATCTATCAAAATCGGTCATCTGCCTGGTGAATTACAGCAATTCAAGTTATTGTTGGTTTATTGAGTTTCTTAATTCCTTATTTATTTCCAAGTTACGAAAAATCTGCTAAGAGAAAACTAGGGGTTTCGTGCCAACGCAATGGCCAAAATTGGAGATTTAACCAAACGGTCTCCTAGTGAGATACTTAGAATGATCGAATTTTGAGATAGTTAAATGTTTAGCTCTAATTACTATTACTTCCATCAACTCTTCCGGTCCGATATTTCGGTAGGCTATGCCGCTGAAAGTAGGAGGTCTTCTACCAACTACCTTCAAGGTATTTATTTATTTATATAAAATGTCAGGCACTTTGATGGTTATCATTAGCCCTTTAGTTGACTTCAGGCTCCACAGAGGGGAAGGAGCATCAAAGTGAAAAGGTGGAGAAGGGGGGGGGGGAATAGAAGAGTGCTTCGAGGAAGTTAAAGAGATAGACACAAAAGTAGAAAAAAGGTGAGGTGAGTAATGTGGAAGTAGTCAAATATGACCTACAGTTGGGTGATGGTAGTTTGAAGTGAGAAGTCAACTGCCGGTTTGATAGACTTTTTGCCGTATGAGCATACGTTGTCTAGGATTCACCGCGTGGAGGTAAGTCTATTGTACATCCCACTGCCTTCACGGTCGGAGTATGCTTATTTTCAGTTGAAATATGCCAATGCAGATTCCTTGAAGCAAATCTGAATTAATATTGCTATTCACTCAAAATAATACCTCTCACAAAAACGTTGTTATACACATATCAAATAAGTGACCGAAGCGCATCCAATACTTCTGGAATAGTACTTAAGGGGTAGAGAAGTAGTCGAATTT